AAAAGTTTCTAAAGCCAGATTCACGAACTTAAAAATCATGTTCGCTGTGATTTTATTCTGTCACGGCAATACATTGCTTAACCGAAAGTCCAGTTGATATTCGAAAAGTGTAGAATTTAGTAGGGTTTAATGGTGACGCTAAAAATCAGTTTATGATATGTCAAGGAACAATACTCACTTCTAATGACGCTATTGCATGAAATGGCTCAATGTCTCTTTTAAAAAACCTGTGCACTTTTTGGCGTTATTATGTGTATCATTACAAATGTCCATTGCAAATATATATGTGGGGTATATCTTCAGGAAAACCCCCAAGCCTACAAGAAATATTTCCAACGATTTATGTTGCACTTTTTTAGTAACATGCGGGTGCGGCATCTCCATGTGAGACTACAGCATGCACAAGTATCAAACACTGGCCAAAGTCGTTCAAAGCCATACCGCAGGAGACAGGACCAGATTATGGCTACCCCTGTTATGCGCCGACCCATACAACCGCCGTAACGCATCTCCCATTTTCTATCGTTACAGCAATGCAACTGCCAAGCACGCCAACTTAAGCATAGATTTCAGACTTTATTTCCATTAAAAAAAATCCTCCGAAGCCTCTGATGAGAAAAGAAAAAAGATTCCTGCTTCGGATTATATAATTAGAAACCAACGTAAAAAACAATTAGGTATGGTATAAAACATGCAATTTAAGCGAAAAAAGTAAAATGGTCCAAACGCGGATTTGAACTCACACACCAATGGTTCCAAGCCTTCCACCTTGACCACTCGGTCACAAGCATGCGGTGATAATTTTAAAATATATCGTAATATAAACCGTCATGATGATCAGTTAAGTCATCGCATTTGCGCAGTTCAGTACCGTAACAATAGAAAATGAGAAACGCGTTATGACTGCCGTAACGATAGCCACTTCCATGACTTCGTAACTAAATTGATACACCGGCAGTGCTAAGTGAACATACGTGGACAGTGTTTGCATGTTTTGGCTTTGAAATGAAAGTTTCACTTTCAGGAGCTAAAACCTGAAAACCATGAAAACAGGATAAACAAAACTCTATCATGTCCTATTCCCAGAACTGTGGGGTCCGACGTCCGTCGGCATGGTCGGACCCCACAGTGACAGTTCTGAGGGTAGCCTAATCATGTCCATGCTAATTGTTATATCGAGAGTTGCCTAATAATTAGTTACCCAATTTTGGTGTTCCTTTTCTTCATCGGCTAACTGGCTCTCATCCTCAAAGGGTTTATCAATATCAAACCACAAGGGGTCAGATAATTTAGGAAACAATGACGGAAAGCGAGTTGACATCTTACATAGGATAGGACTATGGCTGAAAACGTATTTCAATTTAGAATCGAATCTCCCGACTATAAGTGTGAACCATAGTGAGACTGAGAGTAGTCGGGAAACCAATCGCTGTGTGGCGTGTTTATTTTATTTGACCTTTGAACCTGTTGATGACAGTGAAAATGAATATTCATTGTACACAAAGGTTTTTTATTATTGTTTTCAAATTTTGGTTAGGTCTGTATCAACTTTCATTTTTTAAGAATCTGCACACACAAAGTCATTTTAAAAATTATCTATTTATTTATTTTGGGGCAATTTATGCCCTCTCCGTAAAAAGTGCTATTTTTTATTTTTTGGGTAATGGAGAAAATAAAACAGAAGGGGCGGCAACTGTCTGTTACCCCCTAACTGAGAAAGCCCCTCCAAATAAGAAACACGATCTCCAAATTGTAGAAGGAAAAGAAGTCAGACGAGATAAGGCCTCATTTATGTGTGTTTCAAATTGAGTCTCGGCACCCCCCCCCATTTTAAACATGGTCTTTCTTCTCAAATTGCACCCCACATAAATCCAAGCCACGTGATAAGGCAACCTTATATTGCCCTCTTTGTGCGTTTTCTTTTATCTTATTTTATAACTTGGTTTTCTTTTACTTTGATATTGTTATGGTCAGCATATTCCCACAACAAAACGCTTAAACAAAACAACACAGCAGTCTGTTCGTTATTGTGTACATGTATATAGTATGTACAGTACAGTACATGTACAGTACATGTATGTTATAGCCTGGACAGTTTTCTGGATAATGGTGCGACTGAATGAGTCTATGGAACTGGTTTGAACCGGTTTGATGGAAGTCAAACTTTCCATCCCGCCAAAAGCGCCACTGAAGTACATTTGTTGGCGTCACCATTTATTCAAATGAATAATAACTGTTTTAGTCCAATCAAATTGATTAGATTGACGAGCTGGAGTCATCTCTCACACATGTGACCAATTACAAACGCCAATTAAGATAACGTCAGATTTTGTTTCTGTCGTCTGATTGTTTGTCCTAAAAAGTAGTGTCTCGAGTTTGACAAAAACTATATTGTTTGTAAATATTACAACTTTATTTCAAGTATTTAGGGTTTTTAGGGATGACTTTATTCATTTGCTTATTTCTATGCTGAAAATGAGTACTTTGTAGGATGAAATCGTTGAAATGGTTTTAGCGGAGGGATACACCCAGTGTCAATGCAATATGCAAGATGTAACGTCGTTCGTGTGAAAATAAACCGGTTCGTTTTTTTCACTCCCTTGTCATTCCGCAGAATTACTTTCACCGGGAGAGGACCTCCGAAAATTTCCTCTCGTCTCGCGTGCACTTTTTTGTCTCATTTGTGGAAAGTCAATACAATTTGCAAGGCCGTGGCCGAGCTCACCTCTGCTGTTTTAATAAACCGCCTAATAACTTCCATCTCCAGAGTGATGGATGGACTCCGGGATAAACTTTCTCCTGTCCAACGGCCTGACTGCAACTCGCTGTCCGCATCAGCACAAATTTCATCCCAGTGATGACCGCCCTGGATGCGCGGAGGTGGGCTGGATGTGTCGACACAAGAAAATTTCAACTTCAAGTGCCTTCGTGACGTGTGGAGCGTCACCAGGTCGCAAGCTCTTTCTGTTTCATAATGTTTGGGGGAAAATGAACTGAACTTGAAAAAAATGAACATTTGAACATTTTCCTGCTTTGGCCAAACCAATGTGAACTAGAACTCAAAAGGACAGATAGGCCTAATGTGTTTTAGAATTACTGTGTGGACCTGTGTAAACTTTTGTGGAGTCATGCTGCTCAAACTTCGCAAAAAAGGAGAAAATTGGCTGAGGTAAGTCTTCGAAACTGAGGTGAGTAAACCATCATTTCCCTTACTTCAGAAATGAAATGTTAATAAACGAATGGAAGTGTGTTTGACATCAATCATGTAGCCTAGGGCTTAAACACAATGATTACGGTTAGCCTGTGTCACTTTATTTGACTCGACTGTGAATGCTTAAAGCCTAGTACATATACACATTTGAATAAAAACACCGTAGTAATGGTTAAATTCTACTTTTAAACTGGAAGGAATGATAGGGTTTGGGGGTAGCCATTTCATCCTTACTAATACTTAGCGAAGAAGAAATCGCATGTTGTCCGTTTCACTGAATGCGTCTCAACGTTTTTTCCCCGGCCCTGTTAATTTGCATGAGAATGAGTATGGCACGTGTGACATTATGTTCTCGCGTGCCAATAAAACAGTGAGCGTGGCTTTGGGTTCCGTTAATCCCATCATTGTCTGAAAACTTGCTGCATGAAAGGCATTAGAATGCGGTTACTTGCCCAGGTGTTGGTGTCTGATTGCTGACTTATTGCAAATCTTCCGGGCTGCAAAAGACCGCAAGTCTGACAGAGTTTGTAAACATGTTCGCCACCACAGAGAACTCCTTTACGTAAGCAATATAATCATTTATTATAATTGGAATTATGATTTTCCTCCAGCTGCGATTATTGTAAATTACATGCAGACTGAACTCTTTGGAAATTTCCAGATTTTATCTAGTTATCTTGGTCTAAGTTGTAGATTTTTTAACGTACTTACTGCGGTGGTATTCCAGAGGAAATTTTAAAAATACTTGTAATAGTTGTTTGATTGTTGCCATTACAAATGCCACACAACTTTACACCAGTAATTTCAGGTAACAGATCTTTACGTTAGCTAAATGGATCAATGCTTGGTGCTAACAAGGCCGGAATTACCTTTGAACATAATCAGATTAGGGCGATGGGGCAATGTGCTATAATAACCCCAAATATTACTGAAAGTTTACGTGTGACGGTGGTGTGCATCGTCGCAAGATTCTTCAACCACGATTTCTGCAAAACGCTGATGGGATAAATAACAATAAGATGAATATCATGGACACTTTTGTGGCCTTTCAAGTGAATATGAATATATTTTAAGTGAACACAATTAGAAATCACAGATTCGGTATAATGTCAAATACAATATTGCAACTTGGGTTAAGTGTTTTGGGGGTAGGTAGGGATGCAAATGCAGGAGCGGCAGCCGCAGCGTGAAACAGCGAGTTACTGTGTGTGTTTTTGTAACCATCAGTGTGAGTCCGTGTGGTAGGCTAGGCTTAGTTAGGCCCAACTCGGAGTTCGTTAGAAATCTGCCTGCGTTTTATCCTCGCCGAACTCGCAAATCTGAGGTCTGGTATGAATGTCAAAGCGGGTCGGGTCAAGTAAAATCCAAGGTTAGTGAAGAAGATTCAAGGTAATGGGCGAATCGTCTGCGGTCAAAAGGTCGGACAAAATGTCCCTACGTAGCTATCATGTATACTCGCGCGAGGAATGGTAATCATAGTATACCTTGGTATTAGTGTAGGGAACAAAGTTGAGAATGTGAGTGAGAAGGAATACGTGAAGGTGAAATCAGTGAGCAAAAGCAGCTGGCTGCAAGCACGCGCACACCTTGCGCGCTCAAGCAGCGCCACTTCAATGGGTCGGAGGGTCTAAAAGATTTCGTTGGGCAGATTTTAACCTGTCGCCTCTCCAAACATGCATCTTTCACAAACAGTGATCAGGTTGCGTTCATTTTAATTTAAGATATATTTCTATGATTCAGACGGACTCTAACAATCATGAAGGGGAAATATTAACCAAGGTTTCAACATTACATTTCAGTTAGTATAATGGAAAATGCTTTAGTCAAGAGAAAGAAGCCTCATGACATAGCACACTTAGGTACTAAAAGTTTTGTAGACAGTGAACGCGTAAATTTGCAATGGTGGAATCAATGATCATAATGTGTGAAGTCAATGCTATGTGCAGTGACGAAGGGTTATTCTATATATACATGAATGAAAGTACTAGTGTAAAGTTTTCTCGGTTCTGAAATGTATCCCAATCATTTGAATCCAGTTTTCTCACTTGTTATAGTAATTATTACTGGATGATTCTCAAAAAATACAAACATATCCACTGGAATACCACCCGCTGTTGGCCAAGTAGACTGAAATTTAAATTATTGCTGACTGACGAAAGCAAGTTACAGCTTATTCCATTATAACTGTATAAGAAAGGCACTTGAAGTCGAATGCTACCGGTACATACTCGATCATAAATGATTATCAGTTGAATGACAGGATTCTCCAAGGAACAAGGAAATTTGAACAGACTATACGATTTAAGTGGCAGGCTCACTTCTACACTATCTGGAAAAAATATTATTGTGTAAAAATTAACCACAGCGAAAGTGACTCTAAGACACTGTTACTGGCAGTCTCTGGCCAACGAGCTTTGTTATATCCTTGAAAGAAATTACAGCCCGAAAGAGGAACAGCTTTAAATTGGATAAAATTACCGACAATGCCTGGAGTTTTGTTCGAAATCTTTATGACGTCCCGCGCAATCAGCTAGAAAACATTACAAAAGTTAAGTTCGTTATAGTTGTTTAACTTGTTCAACAGCTTCTTTAACATTAGATTGTTTGCTCTATGCATGAAATTACAACTGTAAATAGGAGAGCCTTCAGGAACATTTGTGGCAATGCCTGGAGCGTTGCCGACTTTCTTCGAAAAGCAGACACATTTATTTCATTATAACTGTATAAAATCCTCATCAGTATCGATTATATTAAGCAATGAAGCTCATTATTGCAGACAATGGCCGGTACTTTGTCTGTCACACCGACTATGATAGGTCGTAAGATCTCACTAGAGAAGACAGTGTTAATGTGAACAACGAAGAGTAAATTTCAGCTTCAGAAAGTGATAGTGCTTGGCTCGTTGCCACTGAGTCTCTTGATCAAGCTTGGTGATATTTCTAAGAGGCCCCTTCCTGCTGAAAACGGAGGCAACACTTTTAACATTTATATTAGTTTCTTTAATCGAACATTAATTATTAAACACGTCAACACCTTATTTTAGATATATTAAAGGAGTTCTCTGTAGACGTACTGGAGCAAAAGAAGCAGAGAAAAATCTCTCGACGAAATAATGATTAAAATCTGGGATTAGCGCCGCCTGTACAAGCACCGCAAATAATTCAAACCAATTAACGAAATAATGAAATCTACATGGAATAGATTCAGATTCACTAATATATTTGAACGATTAACATCATGTTTACCAGCAGCGAGTATGGTGACAATAGCCAAAATGATAAACTTTGTTCATTATAACTGTATAAATGGTTTCAAAATCGATGGCTTAAGGTTGATGTAGGCCCATAATATCCCCATTGTTTAAAAAACCTGTTACAAGTCATCAAGGAATAACTTTTTAAGGTAGATACCACTTGCAACGTCTGGTGCGTTGTCCAGTTTCTACAGAAAAAAAAACACAATTTGTTTTAATCGCCATCAACGAGTATTGTGAAGTTATAATTGTATAAGATGTTAACATCTGAATCACCACCTGTACTGCAATTCTGTTCATAATCTGCAATAGATGTCAGTTTTCGGTTTTCCAAGTAATATTTTTCTCGTGTTTTATTCACCATGACCAATCATTAAGTTGGTTACAATTGTATAAGCTTTCAATATCTAAGCCACCAGCGGTATTGTAATTCGGTAAAAAAAACTGTATTGGAGTCGGAGACAGGGCCTGGTTTGTGATCCAGTTTCCATAGAAGATCTTGTTTTATTCACAATGATCAATGTAAGTTAGTCACAATTTTGTAAACTTTAATTCATTAATATCAGCACCATCAACTTCCATATAGTCAGTCTATACAAATCTATTACGAGCGTAAGTGACAATACTTGGTCTTGCACGTTGTCCGGTTCATGTACATGTATTCCCTGAAACTGTAGGCCTACTGCTTTACAACAGATTACATCCTGTGTGTTCACTTGAATATAATTTAAGATTTTAACACGAATTTGTATAGATTTTGTAGGGAAGTGAAGTTTGTCAGTGTAACGGTAAAAAGAAAAAGGTAAACTATTTCATGTCATGAAATATTTGGTGTGGAATATTGAAAAGATTAACGCTAAATTGTAAATATTTCTTGAAGTGCATTTTCACTTGTTACCACTCTGTGGTCCTGATTGTGTGGCGTTACTATTTCAACCCTTGTTCCCGAAGACTTCCATGACTGAAACAGGAAAAATAACTAGTACGGCGCCGACAGAAGTAATTCTTGAAAATGAGGTTACCTTTTTTCCAATCCGCAACAGGAGAACGGAAACGACAAAAATGACAGAAAAACAAACCACCTCGACCGTTACTCTCGCATAAAATCATTTCTGACGTCGGAATTACTTTTCGCGAACGTTCATACTCGGTCACAATAACGACGAAAATTATGAAAGGATTACGTACCGAAAAGTGACAAAAGTCGCTGCAAAAAACTAACGAAAAATTGAAGCGATAACGAGTCTCTGAAAAATTGGTGGTAACACCAAGAAAAATTAAACAAAATCAAATGGGAGTATCGAAGTATATGGTGAAAATCATTGCGATGATATTGAAAGGAATAGACTTTGAAATCAGCGTTCTTTTCCGAGAACTTGAACACATCTATGAAACCTTCGACCAGAATATATAAAAACCGGTTATTACTGCCAAAATAAAATTATACAATCAGTGATGATGAAAGAAGTAACTCTTGAAATCAGAATTCCTTTTTTTCTCAGAACTGCGACACCACGGAAAAAAGACAAAATCAAAAACGACGATTATTGCCTGGAAAATCCACGAAAACATACGAAAATTGCATCCGAGTTCAAATAAGCGACCTTCGCGATCTCCAAAACATACGGTGACGAAAGTGAACATTATTTGAACGTTTCAAAGCGACGGGTAAATAACGAAAATTTCGTCAAAACTAAAATCGCTAAAAATCACGGCTTCGGTATTGAATTTAATTTCAGAAATCAGCGTTCGAATTCTGAAACATCTTCAAAAATCGATAGCAAAAATTACGAAAAAAAATGAAACACGAAGATAATGAGTACAGATGCGAATTTTCAAACCGCGTAAAACGACGTAAACGACGAAAATTATCGGGTAGCGCGAAAAAAGATAACTTTGTTAAAATAAAAAATGAAAGCAGCAATGAGTCTTCAAAATTCGATGACAAAAATAATCGACCGAATTTAAACAGAAATTGTAAAATAGCTATCATATGACAGTGGTGAAAGAAGTAATTCTCGACAACAGACTTACATTTTCTCTTGATGTTTTTTCCCAGTAGACTATCATTTCAGTTTTAAAGTCAAAAGACAGTTAATGTCATCCTTACTTATTACACAGTGGAAAGATCTCCAACTAAATCTGCATTACCTTAAAAAGACGAAGTCAGTCTGTAAACTGTCTCGCAAGTAAACTTCTGTGTTAGTGCCATCCGAGTAACATCGGTATATAGGCGGATGGCTTAAGCGCTGGTAATTGTGACATTTGTCAGATTATTGTAGCCAGTAAGTGTTCATCTTCCTCGACTGTGAACATAAGACCGATCTTGGAAAGATTGGCTGGACATGTACATTGTATCACTTTCGAAGTTACATCTTTGAAAGTATCAGGTGCTAACTACTAGGCCTATACTGTGAGAAACCTTAGGTCGGAGGCAAAATCTGTAAGGGTGAACGATCTTCTTAATTTTGCCTGACGCGGTTGCAATTTGTCTTGGTCGTTAGACCTTGGTTGATAATGTAAGTCCGATTTTTATACATCGGCATTGGCGAACATTTTCTTTTGTATCACTCTATGTAAGTCTGACCGGTTATCAGATCGGCTTGGGCTATTTTCATCTTGTAAGGTATTTATACAACGTGAAGCTTTTTTTAACTGAACAGTGAGTCCGGTTGCAAAATCGGCAACTTGTAAGTCCGAAAAGCTTCGGCGAAAGTGAAAATTGGTTTAATTTGTTGTTATCGCAGCTAGAAGATAATCTTTGACAAAATAAGTAGGTCCGGTGGCAAAGACCGGCATTTTGCAATCTTCGTTTTAAGTCTGATCTGTAAGAATCAGCATGGGAAGTGATGGGAATTTTTTCCCCGAGTGATTATGACTTTCGCCAGTATTTTCTGTGCTCACGAAGCGTTATAACACCCACCCTCTCCCAACAGGTTCCTTTTGGTTAAAGTAGACTATTATAACTCAATTCTTCAATGCTTTTAACCAGCATGGCTGATAGTCTCATGCAGTCCTAGTTGAATGGCCATGTAAAGGTATCTCGCTTTTCGAATTGATTACTCATAAGTTATCAAACAGTATTCCCACTGGTATTTGTGAGCTGAGAACAACGTTTGCTTTCCATAAAGCCACTCTTCACAAGTCACAGGTAAGCCTTTCACTTGTAGCTTATTTAATGCTCTTGAATATTTCACGGAAATATGATATACCTATATGATACGTATAGATATTGTGATAGACCTAGCTAGGGTAGGCCTAGGGCTTCTGTTCCCCTTGTGTCCTAGACCAAGATGCACCGCTCCCACCAGTGAAGAAGAGAACCTACAAGCCCAAATAAGACTGGATGCATGTCGACCCCCCCCCATCAGGATAAGGATGGACTGCTTCTCAGACAGGAACCATAAGCAGAGAGGAGGACCAACAGATGACTGATGACCCTGCTTGCTGAGGGTGTCATCAAAGGACCTTAAAGTCGGGTTGCTGTACTCAGACAAGAAGAATGGCTGTTCATTAAGCATGCAATTACTCTTGGGGTAAGTGTAATGAAAAAAAGCAGATAGATTATTAAAAAATGTTCTAAACTTGCTAAATCGTACCCATCGAATTTGGATTGCATTGCTTGTTTCTGTAATTCAAGATTATGTTGACTGTTTGTCTTGGAAGTTCTCATGCAGTGAACCGTGAAAAAAATGAGTTTCTCAAGTACTAAGGAAAACTGAGGTAGTGAAAACTGAGTTCTAAGGGAACAAGTAATGATACAAACCGTGGCAGACATCTGGTAACAATGTTGGGTGCTGGAAAATGGAGAGAAGGAACACTAATGAAATTGCTTTGTGCACAGAAATGACTTGAGAAATAAATCACATTGCCTTGCATTTTATTGGATATTATGCAGAAAGGGGCAACTAGAAACCTATTTTAAGCTTTACGGTTTTTGGAACCCCACTAATATAACTTAGCTAGCCTAGGCCGAGAAGTTTTTTACCCTTCCACAGGAATTGCACATGGCCTGGATTCAACAAGCCTAGAAGTCTCTGAAGCTCCTTCGCTGAACCGGCAACTGGAAGGTTGCTATGCCTGTATTACAAATTCCTGAGGTAAGTTTGTTATGGGCCCCGAAATGGACCATGCAAGAGGGGGGCAATTTTCCCAGCAATAGATTGAGGCCCCTTTGGTGGTAACAAACGCATCATCGGTTCACGAACGACTATGGAATGCAAGCATTGCAGTCGCATTGCTTCCAACAACATGAACACTCCCCAATAACATGGCTCTTTTTAACTGATGAGGGGGAGCTTGTGCTCAAAGTGGATACGAAACAAAAGGTTGGAAGAAAATTAAAAGGAAAAAGAATACTTTCTGAATGTCTTTCGATTCATTTAAACAAGAAGATTATAAAACTTAAGTTTCTTTCTCTGGTATTTAAACCAAAACGTCTTTTCCTTTTTCTATAAATTCCGAGGTTGTTAAGCAGAACAGGGGGGTGCATAAATTTGATGACCTCTTTCCTTGTGGTTAAAGAGAACAAGCCTGGAAGACCAAGACTGGCAAGATGAAGAGGAGGCAATTTCCTGTGATGGAGGACAACAAGATGACTGTGACATTGATAACCAAGGAACTGCATGGAAGTAGGGAGGAGGACTAACAGGTGACTAGGATGAGAAGGATCAACAGGATGAGGATGACTCTGCTTTCTGAGCATTCCACTACTTATTCTTCCGGTAAATTCATTAAGATAAGATATATGAACAATGAGACTCATGGTTTGCCCCACAATTATTGACAGCACTTTCTCTTCCTTTGAAATTTTTCAGAAGACAGGCCAGCTGTTTGACCTTGACTGGTCGAGTAACAAAGAGGCCATTGGAGAAAGATGAGAAGATGACATTTCTCACCATCAGTGATGAAACTAGGGGAATGGTGGCAGGGAGGAGGACTGACTGAGGACGATGACCCTGCTTGCTGAGCATACCGTGATTTTTTCTCCTAGGTGAATTTATTGAAAGTGAAAGAAGAAACATCAAATAGATGATCTGCAGTGGATTGCTGTTTATAGTTTCCTCCCAAAAAGTGTTTGTGAATAGCGTGATGGTGATCAAGCATGTGATGCGATCAAGCAAAAAAGTTTTCTTCACGATTGTTTTGAGATACACCTCGAATAAAAATTAATTAAAAAAACAATTAGCAAAACCCATAAATTGACCAAGATTGGCAAATATTCATTCTGCTGCATTTTTAACAATTTGAGTATTAATTATTTTTATTGCCTCTAGAAGTTGAGGACCATCAAGCCTTACTGAGACTGGCTTGATTAGGAACACGCTTGGACATTTTCTGCACTTACATGTACATCCTGTACCTCCATAAATGTAACAAAAGGCCAGCCTGTTGGCCCCTGACGTGAGAAGATAAATCCAAGAGAATATGAATGTTGTTATATTTTTGTGTAGTGCTGCTGTTTTTCAGTGTTGATGAAAAATAATGTCAATGTCAAAAACTTGTGAAAAATGGTTAAGTATGAGTTGTGTTTGCACAGTCACTTAGGTACATTCCCTGAAACAATTTTTTAAAATAAAAGATGATTTATTAACTCCAAATTTACTCGAATCCCCGCTGAAAAGGACTGTTGATGACAAAGTTGGATCTTTTTGGTATGTCCTGAAAATTGGTTAAAGCAAAGATAAATGGCTCTCAGTGGTATTCTGGAAACAGCTCAAATTGGGAATTAAAACTCCCATGACCAAAAAGAAAAGAGAAAAAGCAGGTTTTATGCCATTGTTGATTAGATTTGACATAAAATAAACTTCAACATTGGGGTCAAAGTGAGGGTGTGTATTGACATACACCAGCATCAAGGTTGGCCATGTTTATTACAAAATCATCTTAGTTTTGTGGCAGTTGTAGTTTATCTCAGCGATTATTTCACTCCAAAAAAGAAATGGCTCCTACATTTATAGTACATTTTAAAGTTTCAAAAAATGAAGAAAACTAAAGAGTTTTGTTTTCCATTTTTCAAGAAAGTGAAAGCACAAAAGCATTGTCACAGAGCTTTTGTTGAACCGGTATCTAATATTTTTCTTGCCGAAATTGTGATGAAATAAAATTCTTTGAATAAATGTAATAAATTTAATGAAATTTAATACATGTAAGACAAGAAGGATTGATGGTACCCTCAAAACGTCGGGATTTTCCTGTGGTGAATGTGCAGGTTAAAGGACCTATGGCCCTTTTCAGTATTGACTGAATAGAGAAGATTTATGAGCCAAATTTCCTGTAAACAAAAATATTAGTGAAAATTTTGTAGGCTGTGGACTAGAGCAAAGGTCCCTTCCACATAGAAACACAACTACCCAACTGTTTTACTAAGTTATTAAACTCCTAATTGATAATTCTTAATTGTCTGTAACAAATTCTGCCTGAAACTGCATAGACGTAAGGACATCCATATTTCACTGTGTTTATCATTCTGTGTTTTTTGCATGGACTCACCTCTTTGTTTTGTTTTGTTTTAACTTTATGAAAGTTGGTATTTGTGCACTTTGGTGTTTTCTGTTCAGATAATTCTGCCTCACCCACCCTATTGCTTTCATACTAACCAAACAGATAAGCACAGTGTATGCTGGATGTTGCAAATAAAGGTGCAGACCTGATTTACAAAACTGTTGAAAATAAAACTGGCCAGCACAATAATTTTAAGAGGTTGGGATCTTCCTGTAGCCTACCTTCTCAAGCACTGTTTTACTAATGCTTTCCCTCCCGGAGAAACGGACAAGTCTCACAAAACTAAAGTGGTTACACCTTCATATCCACCATTTCTACTGTAGTTTTGAAAAAATGGTTTCAAACAAATCAAAATTTTGAAAAAGTTCTCAAAGCAATGATAATAATGCATGTTATCAACAGCAAGCACCATCAGTCCTTTGTAACCTGCTTTAATTATAAAAGCAGCTTATTCCTTGAATCAGTTATGCTCAAGGATCTACTCTTTTTACGTCACAGTTGTTTTGCCTACGAGTGGCTGCTAAAATTATGGCTGGCCATCAATGCGAAAGTAAAAGAATAATTCCAATCCCAAATAGCTATCAGAACACCAGATAGTAATACACATATTACTTAATAATAAATGAAAATGAAACCCTCTTTAAAATTAATGGGACAAATGTATCTTTTGAACGAAATTGATTGAAAACTAAAGGGTGTTTTTCTTTCTGTAAACTTTGGCCGCCCATACATATTGTAGAATGAGAGTGGTCTATCAACTCACTACAAAATGTTTGGAAATTAGCTACCAGTTTGATAGCAGGATTTGCCTTTGACAACTTTGATATAAAAGTCTGCAAAACCCTTTAAAAGATCTTTTCCCTTAGTTTTGCGTTTTATGGCAAAAATTGTAAACTATGTAAAAAAAGTATGAGAATGATGTAGGTCAAAAGAAATCATAATTTCATAATAATTTCATAAGTATATATATTGTACAATGGACTATATTCCTAAAAAAGGCATTTTTTTATCTTGAACCTCAAATCTTGTTTTAATAAAATATTAACTAATTAAGGTACTGGTAATCGACTATTTTGTGGATTCCTGTTGGCCTCATTTCCCTTGAATTTATTTTCAAAACCTGGCATAAAAGTCTAACAAAGGTATGTTTCATCACATATGTGAATTTATGTATGTGAAAATGTTAATTTTTAATTTATAATTTTACTGATTCCCTTCAAAAATTAATACAAACCTAGCTTTTAATTTAAATATGGGTGACTCCAGAATATTGTCCATTGCAAATGTTGAGTTATTAGTTTCTTCATTCTCAACCTAATTTCAGTTTTGCAATTCATTATGTTTACTGTATAACTAATTAATAGATTATAAAAATTTTTATACGGTGCCACTGTCTCTTTTGTAACAAAAAATGATCAGTTATCTAATGAGCACAGAAGCAATAAAGTCAATCACACACGTGAAATCCGAGCCCTTACCTCACTATAGTTGAGCTGCAACCCGACTACAAAGCCAATTTCCAAGCGATGGGAGAATAAAGACCATTATTTACATTTCTGAATTTTTGTAATTGACCCCATCCAAGTATTATCCACTTATAACGCCCCCCCCCCCCGCACCCCGGTTCTTCCTCCACGCCCCGCCACTGGTAAAAAACATTACCTGACGCTGAGGGCAGTATTACAAGTAACTGCTGCGGCTGTACGTGCAAAGCGAGGTAACGTGAAATGTTTACATGGAAATATGCTCATTTCTTGTGTTTATCAAGCTTTTCAGTGTAAGGAAAACTAACATATGGGTTGTTAATGTTATTATGATAGATAGTTTTATCTACTTTGTAAGATTCTAGCTTTCAAAAATTCGCCAGAGACTGAGGACTTCAACGATGAAGGGGGCTCCCATTAAAGTATTCAATCCTTTTCGTGACAAATTGTTTTCGTACTTACTTGGGGGATCGTGCTCTGAAATAATGAATTAGTTTAGATGGTGTCTTTGAAGAGAGTTCTGTATCCAGCCACCACAATTCTAACGCTTTATAAACTCGAAAAAAATTTTTAAATGACTGAATATGTCTGCTGAAATACAAGAAAAAACAGTTTTTCCTCAGACATGTCAGACGTAGACGTGTCACACAAGTCAGTTGACATAGTCATCGTTGATATGGTTGAATTTACCCCCAAGCTGACAAATGGCTGAACAGACTTTCTTTACATTGATGTTTGTACACAAGACCACAGTCTAGTCTGGGGCATTTTTATAGAGAATCAGAGTAGCCTAGGCTTATTACAATAAATCTGCATTTTTGCTAATTTAAGTGTATTTTGTTTTCTGTTTTTTTAAATTTAAGACAGGTTGCCTAAATGTACTGGATTCCACTACTGTGAGTATACTCATAGGAAGTGAAAGGCTATTGTAAGGTAAATTGAAAACACTGGCATCACTGTAGAACACAACAAACACGCTGCTGGCAGTGTGGAGGCGAGGGCGTACATCCGTAAAAATCTCTTGTTCAAACAGTCATTGGAAAGGTACCTGGGTCATTCTACAGTGTGTTTAAAAAAAAGGAAACTGAGATTAATTTGTCAATATCTTGGACATGCTTAACCCTTCACGCCGGGACGCGGCTAGAGCCGCCGTAAAAATTGAGATCCTCAACCCGCTTTTCAGCTATTATTCTCGGGCCATGCTCGAGCGAACACGGTGAAAGAAGGCAGACCCTGGTTATTTGTATATATGGTGATTGGCCTTTGTGTGTAGCCCAGAAATGAAAAGACCGAATTTGCATCATAATCACCAGCTTCACAATAGTTCCCACTTTGAAAAGAGGCAACAGGAATGTGGAAGCGTGAGTAGAGCCGCATGCCACCGAACAGTCAGCCTTTTCACTGTGTAATTCAAAGCGTACAGAGCACGCAGGGCCACAAACCGAGAATTTGCAGTTTGGCAGGTGGCCTTCGTGGCCAAGCGAGGCTTGAATTCTTGGAGTCGGCTTTCGGAAAGAAATTCCCGTCGTCAAGGGGTTAAATATTTTGGCTGCAGTGAATCTGGCACAAGACTAGTTCTGACATGGTTGATTAAACTGCTTCATGGTCAGTCATCTATGATGGTAAATTGAATTTCTTGGTCTCATAAGAAAGAGGGCATCATTATTGAATAAATGGTGGTTGCCAATTTCCAAAATATTCAACCATGTCCAAGATATTAACAAATTAATCTCGGTTTCCTTTTTTAAAAAACGCTCTGTATAAATTAGGGGTCCAGTTTGTTTCCTGTCCCTGTCACATCTGACATACATGTATATTCATTTGCAAAAGTTTAAGACTACCTGGAATTTTATTGGTATTTCTGTCACTGGGCCTGCATTACACTGTCTCACTGAATGATTAACATGATTTGACAGTGGTGCATAACATCACTGTAGTGCTATATACCCATTTGAATGAAAGTTTTTGCAAAGGCAGGTCTTGTATGACGTTTTGTCTGTAAGGCAGCTTAGGAAAAAAAGCCAGTCTAAGCAATTAGAAATAAATGAGGGAACACTGAATATTAGACTGTTAACGTGTCAAATCATGGAAATGTAGTCAAAAATGTTCAACCATGGTCCCAAGGTTACACATTGAAAATAAACATAAGTTGCCATGATTGACTGGTTTAAGTTTGGTTTTCCTTCAGGTTAATGCATTTTCTATGGGTGGTCCTAAACTTTTGCAAATGACTGTATGATTTTGTAAGTTCAGAACACATTCTTAAATTTCATAGAGTAATGCATTAATGTAAATTACCTGCCAAACAACTAGAAATTGTTTGAAATCAATTTCAGTGATGTGTCCATCTCAAATTACACAGGTCACATGTAATGGGGACACAAAAATGTCACACTTTGGACCCCCAATTTATAGAATGACCCACCTATTAAATATGCATGTATGCGTACAACAATTGGTAAATGGGAACGCCCCTTTGAAGTTGTGTATGGCAGTCAGTGTGTTAAGCAAATGTAGCAGTTCATGTATTCAGGTTTTTTTCATTCCTTTTTTGCAATTTTGGATTTAGAGTAACTGATTTAAAGCAAGTAATTTGATTAACCCTAACCCATGTCAATCCTCCAAAATCCTCTGGGTGGTTTTGGAGGATTTGGGAAGATTCAGCATGAATGATAATTTGAACATTGGAGGATTTTTGGAGGATTGAGGATGAATGGATTGAGGATGAATATAGCATCTACATGTAGCAATAGGGTAGACAGTTTCTTCAGAGATGCCAAGGATAAGGTACAAATGTTTTAAGTCGGGTTCTGCTTTTTCAAAAAAAGTTTACGGGCATTTGTTAACCACAAATAAGAATTCAAACTCAAGGACTGGTAAGCAACAGAATGCCATCTACCTGATGTACATTTTACATTCTGCGGAAGTGCAAAAAGGTAGTATTTTGTCCGACTTTATCAGTTGAAAAATGCATTTGCATTGATTGATTTGCTAGTTTCACTGCATAATGACCAACATTTCTAATCCCAATAAATACCAGGTGGAGATAAAAGATACATGTAGATATGCTTGTACACTGTTATTTACTGTACCACATAGAGATGGACACTTTAATTTAATCTAAAAAGCAGATTTACACTTGAAGCATGTAGCCTGAATTAGCTTTGAAAAAAAAACAGACGGTAACAAATGTGCACCCATACTTCTTATCAATACTGTAGGTAATGAAGGGTTTACAGAAGGATGTTTACCTGTGAAATGTGTGGAACTTGGAAAAAAAGGTAACAATCAGTTGAACTTTTTGAAAACTGCATCATTTTGCCCCTTCGAAAAAAAATTCAAATGTTGATTCAAATCACTTTCTTTTTTAAAAATCATTTGATTTCAATCACTAATTGAAATGGTGATTTGAATCACAATTTAAATCTGTGATTTAAATCAAACAACCCTGATAATGAGTATTTGTCATATTTTACTTGTTGGCCTTTCATACAGAACTATGTAGTCAGGCTTTGTAGTCTCGTGTTCCAGCCGTCCATTCAGCAATCATGGACTCCGAGGAAGATGGAGATATGACCTCCAAGGCGGATCCTTTGCTGTCGCCCTCCGCCAAGGAGTTAACTCTGACTAGCTTCCTGTTTGGCAATATCGACACAAAGGGCAACCTAGAAGATGACATTCTTGATCCAGTGAGTATAAAATATTGCATTTAAGTTTCCAGAGGAGCCTTATCAAAGAAACACTGTTGATTCAATCCAATATTATTTGTCATGTCAAGACCTTGAAAACTAAGCGAAGTGTACACTTCTGTGGATCTCATTTGTGTAGACCTGTAAGCACGCTCGGAAAATGTTGTTAAAATGTCTGAATCCTGTAGACTGGTGTCATGTATTCAAACAGGAATCCAAGCGTCATCTTGCTGAGTTGGGAGCCTTGTCAGGTCTTGGAAAAATTGTCCAAGAGATTGCCACCGAAGAGGATTATGATGCTGACGACGATGGCAAAAGTGTTGAAGATTCATCCATGGATGATGGTAAGCAAAACAAAATATGGACAATGTGCATGTAGGAAAAAAAAAGTACTTCGTTAGCAAGCTCAGCACCTCAGCTAAAGTGACTTGTAGATTTGTACTTTTGAGGGTATTCTCTTCAGTTGAAAATCATAGATTTGTCTAAGACTTTTTGACATCCAATTTTATTTTGTAAAAGGAGATTTTCAATGAATACGGTATAGGTCAGAATTTTAGCCTACACGCAAACACGCTTAGCGTGTCAGTGTGTATTGAGTCAAACAGAAAAGAAAGGAGTTAATCGCAACACGTGTCAGTGTGTATTGAGTCAAACAGAAAAGAAAGGAGTCCAACAGAAAAGAAAGGAGTTAATCGCAACACGAAACATGCTGACCCCTGGGCAACAGAGAATGCCGACACTACAGTCTGATCTGCTACTCGCAAAGCCTGGAACAGCCAGGCCCTTGTTGACCAAAGCAGTCATTTTCCTAGTTTCCCCACAATGAAAATTATTCAGTTTGAGTGCAGCTCATGCTATCTTCAAATTCCACGGAAATGTTGTCAGGAGTTTACCTTGTATATAGCAGGCATCACAAAATCATTTTCGAAGATAAAGCGTTTTGTTTGTCAGTACAGGATCAGTGAAAGTGCCATGCAGGCAACCCTTTTGTTTATGTCTGAATTTCTCCCAAAACCTCTGAATCAGGCGCAGAAAATTCGAGCATGAAATCAATTTTCAACAGAGACGATTAAAACTAGCAGTTTTTATGACAAAACATTTCCTAAAGTAGAGAAAACTAGTTTGTAGGAAATCCACAAAATATAAACAGGGTTTGACCTCGCCGGTCCGCTAGCCAAATTTTAGTCAAGATGGCCGCCATGGTGGCGATCCTAGCATATACACACTCAAACTCTGTGTGTTCAAAATTGCGTCAATATAAATTCGATGTGAGATGGGGATTTTTCCCATCAGTTTTCAGTCTTTGAACTGGAAATAAAATATCGCTCTGATTGTGACAATATTAGGACCAAACTGAACAGCAAAGATCGTACCGAAATGAAAGGAAGTCAGGTCTGCGCTAGCACTAGCGCTAGCGACGTTCATGCACCGGCTGCACACAACAGACAAAGTAGCGCCCATGTGAACTTCATAAATATGCATGTTGTGTGACATGTGGGCTGTAGCTTTGCATTTGTTGGGGCTGTATTGAAATGAATATGCAATACACATTTTTTGATTTATGATTGGTGGTTGGGATGAAAGTGCTGGGGTGGTTGCAGTTTCGTGATTACTTGGTTGTGGCACGGTCGCAGCACATGTAGCAGGAAATGAAAAAGTCAAGTTAACATTTACGCAAGTTCGGTTGGCCTTAGTCGGTTGATTTCAGTGCTTTTCCAATTTACTGGAATTGTGACACATGAACTAAATTTCTATAAAATAAGAAACCCTTCATTGTAAAATCAGCTACTTATAATAGTTCTGGTTGAGGAATGGATTTTTTTCGTGGTTACTGTTTATTTGTGAAAAAGTTCTCGCGCAGTCGGGAATTGCTTAAAACCAATCTAGCATTAGAACCAGCAAGAAAAGCGTTGTCGTTGTCACTCCAGTCAATCCCAGGAGTTTAAAATTCAAAGCTCACATGTGGGAAAAAGTATTGTAGTAGCTAACACATACGGTGGACTACTGGCCAGTTAATCACTGAAATTTGACATTTTCCAGATGTAATCCAACTGAACAACTTTCATGATACAAAACAAAAAGAAAACGGCTGTGATAGTGATACATATTTTGATACTTCAAGACAGTCATCTTGCCAGCCAAGCACTACCTGTACGTGATTTCACATATTCAGTGCACTGCCATGCAGTGTACATTTTACATGTACCTGTACATGTAGAGTGTATGTACACGTACACGAAGCTGGAGCGACAGCTCTACGTGTGCAGTGGTTCACTACACGTTGTCGGTCACCTTTGCAGTCTGTGGTCACAAGCCCTGCCGAGATAATGAGGTCTGGGGTCACGCCTATTGTGCTTTGGACCAGCAGTGCACGGTAAAAGCTGCAAAGTGTGTATTGAACAGTGTGTCAGGTTCACTGATCGGTAATAGCGTGTTGGCTAAAATTCTGACCTGTACTGTATATCCAAACTGTTGCCTGACTAATTGGAGGAGACACCATCACTGGGTTGGTGTCGCTTGCACGAGTATGTTCTTAAGCTAGATGCATGCTTTCATTTGGCAAGTCACAGTATCCTATCGGTTGAAGAGGCACCTGTCCACAGGCATTGTGCCACTGCATTAATGTTTCTAACTGTGGTCATCAAATCGCACTATAAAAGATTTGATACCCTCGACATAAGATGCAGATTAATTCATAACACTGAAGATGTGAGTCCATTACGTGAGTGATAAAACGTTCCTATGAGTCCTTTCTACTATTTGTTTCCATGTTTTTCTTCAGGTTCTGTAGAAAAGGCCAGTGATGCAGTAGATTACTCAGATATCAACGAGGCGGCAGAAGATGTGTCTTATGAGAAATACAGAGAGGCTATGTCGACAGTCATGCTTTCCAAACAAGGTCACAAAGTCTATGATTTAATAAACAGGCAGTGTAGCCAGTATAACCTCGTATGGATAAAAACGTTCAATGGGTCAAGGGTTCAGATCTGGCTGACTATCTGTTACGGCCCTGGGCAAGGCACTCTACTCTCACTTTTCTCTCTTTGCCGTGGAGGTCATAAGCTGGGCATAATGAACTGGCATGTCATCCCACAGGAATGCCAATATCTACAGTCATTCCAGACCAGGAAAAATCAGGGATAAATGATGGCCTTATTCATTCGTATTGCAGTCTTGTTATTAGGGCCCAGTTTGATGAGCTGTGAAGCTTTGTGGCAAATTAGTTTAAAAGGTTTGGGGTAGCACCATGCAAGGATATCTACTTTTAAATATGTGCGGTTCATGAGTGCCCTCCGGTTCTTTTCAGAACCACGCAAACTCAAAAAGAGCTATCCTTGCACCTTGGGTCCAGTTTCATAGAGAAAAGTACTAGTTGTCAGTTTTTCAGTTTATGTTACACTCTTCACATTTGCATTTCATATCTTGATGCTACTTACTTTACTTAAGAATAAGCATGATATAAACGTAATTAATGGACATTTTTTCAGGGGTTCCAACAGGTGTTAATGAATGCAGCATAAGTTTGTGATTGTACCCCTGTATCTTAATAGCAAATGAACTGTGTTGGACTTTGTAGTTCAGTAAGGAGCAGCCTTGTAAATGCCGCCTAAGTTTTTGATTTCCATTATTAATGTACTACATGTGCTTGTGTCATATCTGGTAGCAGGTTCTGATGATGAGGATTATGACGATTCAGCAGAAACTTCCAAATCTGAGAGTGACTCCCAACTGATGCCCCCTCCCCCTCCGCCTGTCCTACGCAAGACGGTCCCTCCCTCCACCCCTCTCTCACCACCAGACAGCCATGACGAGGGCAGTCATACCCTGGGAGAGGATGGGCAAGCCACCAGGAGGAGGGAAGGTAGAGAAGGGGATCAAGACACCCCTCAGGAGACCAAGAAAATGCCAAGTGTGACAGAGCTGTTCCCAGAGTTCAGAGAGGGAAAGGTATGCACGTTGTGGTCCAGGTCGAGAAAATATTGTAAGCGAGTTTGTCTCATCCAGCACTTTGAAACAGTTTGACCTTCCTTTCATTTTAACGCTTTTGTGAATGACTTCAAATAGAAGGTCTTTTACTGTGTGAGATAAGTAGAATAAATCAAGAAGAGTTTCCAATAACTTTGTAAAGAGGTCACGGATTTTGCACAGGTGTTGAGGTTCCACCGTCTCTTCGGATGCCAGAACACGCTTCCCCAGATTTGGCGTGGTGCCAAGAGGAAGCGAAGAAAGCGTCGTCCGACAGCCAGTTCAGATGGTCCGGAGCAGGTGTCAAGTCCTACAAAGAGTAATATCACGGGTTGGCAGTATAACTATGCGCCGACACCACCCCCGGAAGACTGCACTCCAGATGATGAGGCAAGTTTCAGGCCATAGGCAAGCTCTGTCCAGTCAGGCCCATTTTCTAAATCTCAGTTTCATCCATCTCAGACACAAAAGTCATCTGCAGGTGTTTACTGTTTGATAGAATGTGAAAATACGTCATATTTTGGTCTCAAATTAATTAGTTTGGCGCTGCTGTGATACCCGCATTAAGCCCAAGGGTCTTAACCGGGGAATACATTCACAAGAGCACAATATTGAAACTGACGCTGGAGAACCTTGGGTAGCACACTGCAGTTTTCCTGTGTATTTACGGTAACTATGAGCCAACTCACCAATGTACCGGCTACGGACAAATCACTGTCCAAACTAGTAGCCACACAGCATTTTCAACAATTATCACAAGTCTTAAACTAATCTCTTCATGATGCTTCTCCTTCAATTAATGTGGAATCCTTGTTCGTTTTCTTCTTACCCCGGCAGATAACCATGCTGGCCCCTATCGAGCCCCAGGTGTCCAACGATGATGAAGATGCCACTAAGAGTAAAGACGTGAAGCCCAAGGTGGCTGAGTGGCGGTACGGGCCAGCCCAGTACTGGTACGACATGCTGGGAGTACCGGAAAGCGGAGAAGGATTTGACTATGGCCTCCAGACCAAGAAAGTAGGTCATGGTGTAATTCTGGTTAATGATCAACTGTCATCTTAAAGACTTGTGCAAACTAGCCCACGCCATGAGTCACATTTGCCAATCATGCACTTGTTTATGACACTGACATATGAAGTGTACTTTAGCAAGAAATTCCACAAAGCATTTGAAAATGTGGTAGTTCAGGCGAACAAATTAGCTGTTGCCTATCATTTTAAAAATTTGTTGGATTTGCTTCTATTTCATGGACAAAAATGTCAAATAATCATCTTCACGGTTAAGTGCTAATTGTTTGGAGGATATCTTTCCTGTACAAACTGTTACCAATTCCCCCAATTTTTAAAATTGACACTTGTGCAGAATAACAACAAAGAGAATGTTCCCAGCCCCAAGCCAGTAAATGACGAGGCAGAGCCCCCCCAGGAGACTGTCCCTCTTGAAGAGATCCTGGCCGACTGTCCCAGTGTCCCCCCGGCCCCGCAGGATGCCTTTGAGTTGGTCAGCCAGCTGCCCTGGGAAGAAAACATCATTTGGGATGGGGAGGAAGTCAAGGAGAAAGTGTTGCAGGGCATTGACGCTAACACACTGGCGGGTTGGGTGCCTACACTGGCAAACAGGACTGTCCTTGCATACTGCACTGCGCATGGTATGTTCAAACTGTCCAGTATGGTCCCCTGTCAAACCAGATTTCAAATCCCAAATCTTGTGAAATTCACAAACTAGCCTGTTTTAAAATCACATTAAATTTATAATCAGCCATGAAGTATAGCTTATAGCTCCACACAACCTGATTACCAATTTTAAAACTTCTGTGAACTCAGACTTCGGGGTCGACCTAAAATGTTTAACTAGCCACAGTTAATATGGCTAGTCCTTTCCAAGTAAGGATCCCCTCCCCATTCCTTTCATTGATCATTTAGATACCTTGTTAAACACTGAATGGCGTTGCAGGAAATCCCGATTTAATACCTTTGGCACATGTCATTGACTCTTTCACAGGAAGGCGAAATATGGACTTTCTGGACCCCAGCCTCAGCTCGGCTCCGATGGGCCTGAAACTCCAGGGTCCATCCCTGGCGAGAAAGGTGGCCAACAAACTGGCACAACAAGGTGAACACACACTTGCATTGTTGTCATCATAAGTACAACATAACGTCTTGCCTGTCAAGCAGTGTTGTCCGGCCTGTCACAATCAGTCTCAAGTTAGTTAAACTTTTCCATTGAACAGAGACAGAGGCATTTTTGTCAGTATTCCTACATCCCCTGTCACTAGTGATTAGACTTGTTACTTGACTTGCTGTAGACCTGTAAAATTTGACAATCATTCTGTGGTGAAATTAAGTCCTATTACTTTAGGCCGTTTCTGATTTTTTTTTGCACTCTTATGCCGCAGCTCAAGATAGCCAAGAGCCTGAGAAGTTGTCTTGGTACTCCATCTTTCCAGTTGACAACGAGGAATTGGTTTACCACAGGTGGGAAGATGATATCATTTGGGACCATGAGGTGAGTGAAGCAAAGTTGTTCTAGAACCTACAGTTCCTATGGTAGTTACAATGGTTAGTGCCGTCTAGTATGAGTTGTAGTTTCATATTGCACACAGAGTTCTACATTGGGAGCTGGTTACAGTGGATAAGCCCAACAGTCTACATACGCGCAAGCTGACCAACTAGCTGCAGTTGTGAAAGCGCCTTGCAGACATAACCTTAATTTGTTCTTGCTTGTCTTGTTACTACAAACTTGTAGAACATGGACAGGATCCCACCTCCTAGCACCATGAAGCTGGACCCCAATGATGAGAACATCATCCTGGGGATCCCAGAGGATCCAGACCCAAATGCGGAGGCGGAGGTGGTCAAAGAAAAGAAAGAACCTAGGAGGTCAAAGATTGTCCTGGAGAAGACAGGAGTCACTAAGTCCAATATTCTGCAGGTGAGTCTGCAGGAACGTCAACCCAAGTTGATCCGCTTCCAAGCTAAATCACAGACAGTTGGAATGAACAGGGGCAGAGGTATTCCTTTTAAGAGGTCCCTTCACATTTTAATCAAATCATCTGCGAAATATTTTATGACCTGACTTTTTATTTGACTCATGATGGAGTGGATTGCCACTCAGATATGAGGTTTAAATTGCGTGGGAAGACTTGTACTTGTCAAGTCAAAGGGTTATTGGAATTGTTTTTCTGTTATGGTCCAGAACTTATAACTAGATCAGAAACAATCTTCTCAGTTTTTGTTGCAAAATGTTCAGTTTGATCATTTCCCTTACCTTTTGATTCTCATAAATTTAGACATTTTAAGATTCATTTTTTCGGATGAGAGCTAATGCAATGGTGGTGTAATGTGGCAGTGCCACAGGTAAATCATTAACTGTCAAATTTTGTAGAGTATAATTCAGTCCTACAGAAATGCAAGAAATATGAATATGTTTTTCCTTAAAGACCCAACCCCAGGAAGATGAAGATGTGAAGGAGCCCTTCAACATCTCCAACGATGCCTACTACTACCCTAAGAATGTTGGTGAGAACAAGCTGCGAGCCAACATGGCTGGTAACCTTCAGGTTAGATATACCTTGTCATCTCCCCTGCAGTACAATCCAAGTTGACTCCACTGTCATAAAAGTATCTTTATGTTACTGCCAAGGTAGTCTTTACAATTTCATTTCGAGCTCAGTTGACATCAGTGATAAGTCAGTACTTTGGCATGTCAAAAGCTAATATGAGTGTGATCTGGAAGCAGAAAGAGGAGCGAGACACAGTTCAGGTTACCACAGAAATGCAAATTTTTCGCTATGAATTTCTTGAAGTCAAAATCTGTTTACCGCTGGATAACAAGGACTTCAGAGTCGTTTTGTTTTCGAAGGGGGGTGTAATGACTGATGAGTAATAGTCAGAAGTGTGAACTTGATTTGGTCCACCAGTTTGGTATCGTCAGTAATAGTTGGTTGTGCATCCTTCTCCCCACAGCATTCCACCCCTGCTGTGGAGCTGCGCCAACCCTTCTTCCCAACCCACATTGGTCCCATCAGGCTGCGCCATTTCCACAGGCCCCAGCTCAAGCGATTCTCCCACGGTGCCCTGGCATCTCCAGGATATCATAACGTCTGGCCACTGCTCAGACGCATCAAGACCAAGGCCAAGGTAAACTTGCTTTAACTCACTGTTCTTGCAAGTCAAGATGCCACCTAAAAGTAGTATCTTGAACCTTAAAGTTCTTTTCTCTGTCATATTTTAGTGAAGTCCATTTAGGCTTACCTGGAAATTGTATATTCAAAAATTTAAGCCTGAATTGTGAGTCAGTTGGGTGGAGGTATGTTATTACAGATAATTTGCATCTGCCACCTATTAATGTTTCTCAAGAGTGAAGCAAGGAGCATCAGGAAAGGGACACCTGATACGTGGAACAGTATTAGTTCAATTTTTTAAATTTCGGCTCTAGCATTGTCTGTTTGAAAAGTTCAACCGACCAAACATGGCTCATAGCTTTTCAGATGTTCATTACTTCCAAGTGGATCTTCCGTTTTATGATTGGCAGTTGCGAGAGCAGGAGCGACAGGCCTCGGGAGGGGGTGAGATGTTCTTCATGAGGACCCCGGAGGACCTGTCAGGGATGGACGGTGAGCTCATCCTGACCGAGTTCTGCGAGCAGTTTCCACCACACATGATGCAAGTGGGCATGGCCAGCAAGATATGCAACTACTACAAGCGGGTAAGCGTGGGTCACAACTATCACAGACCTTGATGTCTTGCACACTTGGTGCTGCTATCAAACAGTTTATGGAAGCCATGAAGCTGTCCAGAAAACAAATAGTTCACTGACCTATCTGCAGATACAAAACCACCAGTGATGATAATTAAAAACTAAAAAAGATAAAATTAATATAACGTAAGTTAACAAAAAATTAAAAATCAGAGTTGTTGAGCTGTCCGGGGAAAAAAAAGGAAGTGTATTACATACCTTTAGTTAAAAGAAACTACAGTCGACTCCCATTATTACGAGCTCGGTCATAAGGATAACCCGGATGCAACGAGCATATTCTCCCAGTCCCGAACAATTTGTGTTCATTGCTGTAGAGAAATATTTGGTTATTACGTACACGGATATCGTGAGACTTCGCCTACAACGACGATTTGTGCCGACCCCATGTGAGCAAAAGTATTGTTCTCAACCCATTTACAGCGACTTTTGTCCAAACCGTATTATCTGCAGCTGTCAACGACAAAATTCGGGCATCATACGTTTTCCCAGTCTGTCAACGCCTTATCAATGTACCTTTGTAAGAACTTCAACGTAATGTTGTTTCATCTCGCCGATCTTTAATCAATGACATCGCGCCCTCTCTTGTCCCATTTTGTTAAATGCAAATCTGATGTGAAACGCATCCCCCTTAAACAGGTGCAGGAAAATATGCCCTACAAAAAGCATCAACATAATCCGAAGCTATTATTTGCGTGTATAAAAGAAAAATTGCACTAGAAAAATAATCTCATCTACATCTCAACAAAAACCCCAGACATACTGGTAATAGTGGCACACTCTTTTGACTGGTTTAGCCAATTCACGACAAAAGCAAAATGTACACTCAGGACGTGTGACGTACATGTACATGTACTTACCGGCACGGACTTGAATGTTTCTTCTCACTCGGCTATTCTTCTCAGCTTCTTCTGATCCAGGTTGTGAAATATTTGACTTTTAAATGTACTTTATTTATATCCTTTTATTCATCAACATTTAAATTCAGCATCTATGAGAGACACATAACATCGTCTTTTCATGTGTTCGGTGTGCGGTATCAGTGTACCTGTACATGATTACAACAGACATGTACGGGGCTATAAACTTTTAACGACGCTCTGGCTATAATGACAGAATTGTGAAAGTCCGCCGGCCCTCGTAACGGGAGTCAACTGTAACAATGTAGATGTGCATTTAGGATATTAGATGCTTGAATCTAAATTGCATTCATTAATTGGTGTTTATTATCTACATCAGAAATCGCCATCAGATTCAAAGCCACCAGAGTATGAGCACGGAGAGACAGTGTATGTCAGGAGCTCTCCTTTTCTTGGCGTCCTAACACCAGGAGAATCCCTGCAGGCCTTGGAAAACAACCTCTTCCGATCCCCAGCCTACCTGCACAAGATGCCAAACACTGACTTCCTGGTCATCAGGACTAGGCAGAAGTGAGTGTGCTTCATGTGATTTTTTTCTCTTTGAATTTTAAACTGTTGTTTGGTTGTCGCATGTGCTCTGTGTTGAGAATATCTGACATCCTCAATTTCTTAATGCTTTGAATATATGATTGATAGAGGGAATCTTTGAAATGTCATAGAGGGAAGACAGTTAACCACTTGGCACCGGGGTTTCCCGGCTCCGGAGACATTGGCTGTTTATGCATGGTCGGGTTGCCTGAAATCAGAACAAAAGAACTGGGCCTTGTAACAAAAGACCGAACTCGGAACAAAAGACTGAGCTGCAAGGACCCGACAATCAAGGTTCATATGCTGTCAGCACAGAATGTTGGCATAAGCTGGAGATAATCCGTCATTGTTTTGAAACAGTATATTATTGCAGCATTCAGTGCCCAGGGATTATCAGTGGGGTAAAAGTGCTCCAGCACTCCAGCAATGAGTGATACAATACCACTACGTGCTAATCTGGCCGCATTTGTAAAGACAACACTGCCGTCTACCAATGCACTGGGCCAGTTTCCTGAAATTACGCAGCACCGCACAATGTGGACAGTCTCTACTGGGCGGTAGGCCTAGCTGCAATACTAAGGTGTCAATGGAGGTTGCCTGTCAGATTAGAGTAGCCACCAGACAGTCTTTTGAGAGGGTGTAAGCGTCCAGTAAATGAAGTTATGAATTTTTGAACAATTTTGAAAATGGAGAATCATGAAAAATTGCCTGGCAACGCATCCTGCTTGTGCAAACTCCACCCGGCAGGAAGTGGTTAAGGGTGACACCAAAAATCTGAAATTTTGGAATGTTCTCAGGAATGTAGCCATATCCATCACAAATTCATCACTGGTCAGTCAGAGGTCTCACAACAGGAAGACGAACAATAAACAAGCAACACTTGATTCCAATTGCTTGATGAAGTTGTCTCGACTTGTGGTCACCTTGTGAGGAACTTCATGAGGTGTTGATGTTTGGACCCCATGAATTACTTTGACTGTGTAACAGTTTGTCGTCGTTGTTTGCCCAGGTACTTCATCAGGACCATTGACCACATTTACACCTTGGGACAGGAGTGTCCTCTTCGGGAAGTCCCAGGCCCCAACTCAAAGAAGGCCAACAATCACATCCGAGACTTCCTACAGGTCTGTGGTCCATAAAGGATTGTCACTAAGTGTCCTGTCTGTTTTGCTGCGATTGAATGCAAGTGAAATTCATGGTCTAGTTATGTACATTGACATGAAATGTACTTCAGATTTTAACCATAAAATGGAGTCTGAAAGTGTCGTACATCTGGCAGTACCTGAAAACCTATGCTAAAATGAAAGTGTGAAAACTGGACTTTCAATCTTCCATGTGATGTTACACATGCAAGCACCTTGATTACATAGAAGCCATGCTTGTTTTGGAGTTGAAGATTGCAACCCAAACAGAACTTTAATAAGAAACTGCGAGTGCGCAGGGCATGCTAACATGTGTAGGGAGGGTGTCAATTCACTCTGTTATATACTGAAACATTGCAACTATGGGCGTTTAAACAGGTGTTCATTTACCGGCTGTTTTGGAAGAGTAATGATCGTCCCCGTCGCATCAAGATGGAGGACATCAAGAGAGCCTTTCCGACACACTCAGAGAGCAGCATTAGGAAACGGCTCAAGTTGTGCGCTGACTTCAAACGCACAGGTAAACTTGGACGTGATTAGTAGAGATACATCAGGATAATACTGGGAAGAAACAAGGTTTGCAGTGGTTTGTGAGTGGAGTGGGCAGTAGCCTCATTTAGCACCAGAGATATTTAATTCAAAATGACCAGCATTGGAGAAATGAGAAATATGCTTTGCATTGAACATAAGTAGATATTGGTAGGACAAAAACTGCCCAATACTAGTTTGTAATAATGTTGCATTACATTTAGTGACTCTTTAACCATGGCTCGCCACTACTTAGCCATTTTTCACCAATAATTTATTCACACTAAGGCCTTGCGTTTCCATTCATGAAATGAAAGCACCCGAAAATGTGCAATTTTTTTCAGGCATGGATTCCAATTGGTGGGTGATCAAACCTGAATTCCGGCTTCCCAGCGAGGAGGAGATACGGGCCATGGTGTCCCCTGAGCAGAGCTGTGCATACTACAGCATGCTGGCAGCCGAACAAAGATTAAAGGTCAGTACCTGGGAGAGTCACGTTGTGCAAATTTTTCAATTGTGTCAAAAAAGCAGAGTTGATCTTCCAGAGCAAGAACAAGGACATCTGTAAGATTGCAAGTCGTCCAAAATCCCTCATTTTTATGTTTTGTGAATTTTGTTGGATCAGGATGCTGGATATGGTGAGAAGTCCTTCTTCGCTCCAGATGATGACAACGAAGACGACTTACAGAAAATCGATGATGAGGTGAGTGCATCATTCAGCAAATGGTGCCACCGCAAACCTAAACTGCATTTAAACTGGATAAGTTTGCGGTAGCACCATGGATGTATTTCTTTTTGAACATGTGGAGTTCTTAAAAACCCCACATGCTCAAAAAGAGATACATCCATGGTGCTAGGGCAATCCTATCTAGTTTACTTGCTACCTCCACCATGAAAAGTTTCAAATCTTATCAAACTGCATTTGAAATCGAGTTCAACATCAGTCTCATGAAGAGTGCTTAAGAATGAATATCCAACTTTTCTACTAAGATTTTTTGTCAGAATTTATGATTTTAGATTTAGAATTCAGATTATTTAGATTGATGAGGAATGTTGAAATACTTAACAAAGTAAGGAGTGTTAGTAGTTATACACTGCTACGAACTGTCAACACCTAAAAAGATCTGAAATACAGGAAGAGTGTGGTACAAGATCCTCTTTTCCTATAAATTCACTTCATCTTTTCCCCAGGTCCGGACGGCTCCTTGGAACACCACCAGGGCCTTCATAGCTGCCATGAAGGGCAAGTGTCTGCTCGCTGTGACTGGTCCCACAGATCCGACAGGATGTGGCGAGGGCTTTGCCTACATGAAAGTCCCCAACAAGCCCTCTGGGGCTAAGGTAACCATCAGTTTGTACTTCTTTCAAACTTGACACAGAAGCAAGTGTCCCAGTGTCAGTTTTGGTAATTTTGTTGTCATATTTTCTCTCACCACGTGAATGCTGTGTTTAATAAAAATGACTGGATAGCTACATAATGTTAAATCAGTATTCATGGCTTGCTCCTTTAAAATTGAAGTAAATCAGTTGTGGCAGTTGCTTTTGATCTGACAGGATGACACTAGTTCTCCCCAGCAAGTGAAGAAGACAGTGACAGGCACGGATGCGGATCTTCGTCGTCTCAACCTGAAACAGGCTAAGCAACTCCTGCGCAAGTTTGGCATCTCAGAGGAGGATGTAAGTCCATCTTGTAATAATTTAATTTAAACCCATTCAAATTATCTATTTTAACAGTGTTGATGGGATTAAACTATGAAACAAAAAAGTGTATTTTAATAGATGTAAAAATTGAACATGCAAGTATTCAGCTTGCAATTACTGCATGTTGTAATTGTATTCCATGCTTGAGGAATTTGCCCAAAGACAGTCTTTTCCAGTGATTGTTGGAAAATAATAATTGACACATTAAATTGAAACCACCTTTTCTTTTCTGGAATATTTGAATTTGAAACTTGGTGTGTAAAATGGCGTAGTTTTGCCACTGTTGAATTTTACATAAGTGACCAGTGTTGTCTTTTATAAGATTATCCCAACATTTTTTGTGTGTTTTCTTTTTTATTTTTTTACCCAGATCAAGAAGTTATCTCGCTGGGAGGTCATTGACGTGGTGCGCACCTACTCCACTCAGCAGGCCAAGATGGGGGAGACTGCAACTGCCAAGTTTGCTCGGGGGAACCGTTTTGGCATCGCGGAGCACCAAGAGCGCTACAAGGAAGAGTGCCAGAGGATATTTGACCTGCAAAATAAGTACGACTCTTGCAGACACTTGCTGCCTCGTAGCTTTTCTAGATAGCACTTGTGTGTTGCAGTACGAAACATTTGCCGAACCAGAATGGTTGAATCACATACTGCTTAAACATTTTGGCATTTAGGTGTTTAATCTTCCGGTGTGGCTTCTTAAAAATGGCCCGACTTAAAACAGTTGGTCAGTGAAGAGTGGCTGTAACAGTGAAACGGCAGCCACACTGCTGAAATTGCTCTATGCCTTAATATGTCTGGCTTTGCTGTTGGTACCTGAAGCTCTGTAGAAACTTTAGTACAAATTTGCTTTCAACCTTCTGACCTTCGAAGTACATTTGACCATACTCCTTCATGCTTGTTCCTGGAATCAGATTAGCCACATGGAAGGTTTGCATGGTGAGGTGTCAATCAACCAGTTAGGTTTGTGATTACACCATGTATAAACTATCCCTGTTTTGAGCGTTGGTTCCAAATAGAACTGCTAACTCTATGTTTCAGGCAGTATGCTCTTCCCATCAGAAATCAGATAAGCCTTGTCTTCTATTGGCATTTATCAAGTCAGCACTGTTGCCTGCTTCAGGCTTTAAGGGGAGCCTCAGTATCATCTAGAAGGGGGGGCCACATCACAGGAACAAAACACATTTTTCATGCTTATGCTTTTTCTTGATGGGGCCCCAGCTTCCCACCAGGGGGCCTGGCCCCCTCGGGGCCCCCTCTGGTGATGGGCCTGCATCAAGTATTTGTTCTTGATTTCAATATTGTACTGCACGAATATAAAAGGATTACTGGCATGGCAGGCTGATAGCCTAGTGCTTAGTTTCATTGCTTCATCTTGTTCTCATACTGCAGAGTCTTAGCCTCAGATGAGGTGCTGTCAACCGATGAAGACAGCAGCTCTGGAGATGACAGTGACTTTGAGGAGATGGGCAAGAACATTGAGAGCATGCTGACCAACAAGAAAACCAGCATACAGGTGAGTATTAGCTGGATTCAAGCCACCATCTTGAATGGCTTCACATGACAGATATAGTTACCGGATTATGACTGATTGGTGTGCTGCATGACACAAAATTAGACAAATAATATTGTTTCTTTTGTACAGTTACAATGAATGTTCATTCATTTTTGTATTGATTCTAACCAGTGATGTAGTGCCTAAGCTTAAGGCTTGATTTTAGGGCCTTGGCCTTAGCCTTAACCACTTGCCGCCAGGGTTTTCGGTACCAGACAGGTATTCTTTATAAGCATGGCCGGGGTCTCCAAAGTCGGACAAAGGGAACTGGGCCTTGTAACAAAAGACCGTACCCGTAACAAAAGACCAGGCTGCTGGGCATTACCAACCTTTTTTTCACTCTCAGTAGTGGAGATAACCCAGCCTTGTTTTGAAACAGTACCACTGCACGCTAATCTGGCCCCTATTGAAAAAGGTCAGCATCGCACGGTGTCAGGTTCGTGAACAAAAGAAAATTACATAACACCGCACAATCTGGGCTCTCTTTACAAGGCAGCAGGCCTGGCTGAAATACTCTAGCGTCAATAGATGTTGTCTGTCAGAAACCAGACAGTCCTTTGTGTGGGTGTAAGTGTCCAGTAAATGAAGATAAGCATTTTTAAAGAATTTTGAAAACAGAAAAAAATGATAATTATCCCGCCCCAGCATCATCAACATTGATAACTGCCACCGGCGTGAAGTGGTTAAGGCTTAGGGGTGAAAGCCTTGGCCTTAGCCCTGAGGGATCAATGTCTTCTAATTTTAGGGCTTTGCTCTTCAATGTCCTCTGATATTTTAATTTTCCAGATAAATTTGTTTGAAATTTTGCTATTCTGCAAATACAAAATTACACCCTAGGGTCAGCTCTGAGCTGTCTGCAAAGTCTCCAGTATTTAAGATAATCATGTTTTGCAATGGAGAAGGGAAACACCCTCACTCTGTTCGCTTGTGCATTTACAGTATCACGTTTGATAGAATGTTTTGCTGCTTCCCCCAAAACAAAGCTATGGTAATTTTACATGTATGCATTATAACTGTGCTTGTCGCCACAAGGCCAGGGAGATGATTTTTAACTTCCATAAAATTCTATGGAATGCATACAGACAACATATGTCTTGAAGACTGCCAATCACCTTCTTAGTGCACTGCCCCATGCAGAAAATGATATTTTGCTAATTACAGTGTAGGTCCAATCATGGTCTCTTTCCATCGTGGTCTGATCTTGAGCATGTCAAATTCAGAATCCATTTTAAAGATCACCATAGAGTTGTCAACTCCATCTCTGTAATAAAGAATTAGTCTTTAACAACAAAATGCAACCTAAATGTAGCATTCATTTTCTCCCAAAGTATTAATGGTATAAAATTAAAGTTGACACTGCTTTTTATTTGTGCCGAAAATTTCGGTGCAGTGATCTTTTCAATTATGTAGCACAAAACTCTAAATTCAGCTCAGTATCCTCATTCTGCAGGCCATGTGTTAGTATTAAATGAAGTAAACACAGCTGTGTGATTGTGATGTGTCTTATAAAAATACAAGAAGTTGTCGTTTATCATCTCTTCAAAATGCATCAGTTTTGAAGAGACAAATTTTAAGTTGGAGGTTTTAAGGTTAAGTTCAACTCATACTAAAACAACTTTTTCCCTAGTAATTATTTTGGGAGAAAATAAAATGTCACTTTGCTCTGTGTATCTTTGAGGCAAAGTTGTATAATATTATACTTAAAGGCCTTGGCCTTGGCTTGAGGGTCCAAGCCTTGGCCTTTACCTTGAGGATCAAAACCTTTGCTCCAACAGTGATTCTAACTATGTCAGTAATACCCTGAACAGGTCAAAAGTAAGTCTGTTTGGAGTCTCGGCAAGACAGTAGACAGAAGCAACTATGTTGTAATATGAACCCAAAGCCATATTCTTTATCAGGACAAAAACCAATAAAAATTTTTTTTTAAAATTCATTTTGCTCTGAAAAAAATTTATCGGTTTATCTTGTTTGACCAAACATTGGGTGCAAAAAGGTCTGGTATGCTTTTTGAGGATTAGACCCCTGTAACCACATGAGGACGCTGTTAGTGATGCAGTGAAACATAATATTCATGTGAAATATGCATAGTAATTAGGTCCTGCTTTCCAAAATATTTTACTCAATTAAGATTTATGTGAGGCAATGCCTGTAGCTTTAAAGATGCAGGTGCTTCAGATGCAAAAAGTACTTCATGGGGAATCAAACATCTGTTTTTTTGACAGTAATGGCTATGGGTTGCTGGCTTAGTGCAAACGTTAGTCAGCAGTGATTAGTTTCTCAGCCTCCTTGCCAAGTAATTCATAGACGAAGCTCTCAAACCTTTTAGCACTATATTTTTCTTTCAGCTCTTAAGTAATTTAATCAGTAACTGTTTTGCTTCCTAGTCATTGGGTAAGCCCTTTCATGACTTTGGTTGTTATTTTTTCAATTAAAGTTGAACCGAGAATGGGATTGGAGACATTTAAAGACAGCAAGACATTTAAAGATTGCAAACCTTCCAGTTGGACTACCCATCACTGTTAATGAACAAGGCTTTTTCAACAGAATACTGACCATTTCAAACATTGAAATAATATATTTCTTGTATAATGTGATAAAGGTGTCGCATTTATAGGCGAGAGTCAATAACATCTTGAAGCGAGCATTTTTCATTTGAATAAAACAAACTTCAATGCTACGTCTTTAAGCCAGAAATCAAATAATAAAGTACCATTTATTATTTAAGCTGATCAGAAATACCTGGTAGAATGTTTCTTTACCTTACCCACTACACCATGCAAGCCGACTTGACAGGCCTCCTCCTTTTTTCCTTTTGTGCCCACCATCCTACATAATGGTGCCGAAGCTGCTAGGTGCCGTCCATAACATATGTACGCACGAAGGAGGTCGGTGCCGTTGTGTTCACCATGTGTACAGTGGGGAAGGGGGGTTAGAGCCAGTGCGTACCGTACGCAAACCCAAAATTTGCCTGTAATGAATCTTTATCATTATTTATCTTTATCATATTTATCCTTCCATGCCAATGCCCATTTGTTTGTAAATCGCAACCTTTTAATACTCATGACACAAAGACCGGCTGCATAGTCTGGAATTGTGGAAGGCGTATGCATACATGGGGAGGAGGTTTGAAGCCATTGCATACACCATGCGTGCAGGGGAGGGGAGGGTCTGAATTCGGCATTTCGTGCATACATACTTTATGGCCGGCCCCTTTAAATGCACACGTGTAATTTTTGTGCCAATTATAATGCATTGTTGGCATGGTTTGTACTGTTGTCTTGTACTGTAACTGCGTTATTTGATCACAGTAGTGGGAAGTTGAAAACAAAGAAGTGGAAGGCTTTCTTAAACTCAATTTTTAAACTTAATCCACCTGTTAAGATTGTAACTGTGTAAGCATCAAATCCAATTCTTTGTGGTTGCTGTAAAAAGACGACCTTTGATACTGTCACATTACGACTATCATTTGTAAACATGCAAAATTGTACACTCCCATATTTTGTCTTGCATTGTCTGCAGTAAGCTCTCAGAGTTAGTATCCCTTGGCTAAAAACTAATGCCTCACCTCATCAAGAAACTCACCTGCCTGAAGGAACATAAAACAAAAAAAACCAGAATAAAAGCAGCTTGCCTTAATTATATCTCAAGCGCTTCTCTCTGCTGATGTGTGTAATTCAAGTCCCCTGTTGACATGATGCTATAACGCACTTTTGAACCAGCCCCAGGTTATTTAAGTAGTGTTGATTCCCCAGGAGGACCCACGAAAAGATTAGTGTAAACCATACTGGGTCACAAGGGACGGTGGATTATCCTTCGCGCCGCACTCAGCCACAGATTACTTGTAATAATCTCGCTTGTTTTTACTCTCTAGTCTTGTGATGAGTTCTTCAGAGAAGAGACATGTACATGTAATTCCTAGCTTAGAGAAGTAAGCTTGATTGGAAAGAGCGCCATTTACAGCCTTTCTGGTCTGTTCCTTGTGTGACCTGAGAAGCCTTCACCAGTGTGGCATAGTAGAATTCAATTAAAGTGAAATGTTAAGCCTCCCTCGGGCCTTGTGATTGCTCAACTCTGGGTGAAATTGTTGATTGTATGTAATTGCTTCAGGGAACCATTATTGAACTTCAGTGTGAGTGTACAGTATGAGAAACTTCTCTGCTATAGCCCAAACCGTCAAGGTTTGGTGGAAATTACGTAGAATCCTGCTGGATGTGGCACGGTTAAGACAAAGGAGTTGTAATGAAGTTAGCAATTTGTTATTCAATTTTCTTACAGGCTTCACAAAGAAAAAAAACCTTGTGATTGTTCTGATAGTGTCACCATTAAGAGTGATATTCATTTTTTTTCGGTTCTCTCAAAGTCACTTAAATGGAAGTCACAGTAGATTTGCTTTTGAAGCTTGGACCCAGAACTTGTTTCAGAAAGTTGAGTCACTTTTCACATGGATTGCTTTTGTTGTTTCCTTGATTGCCTCCCCAGGATGAGTAACTACATATGGTGACCTTTTTGATGATAAAATAACAGGTGCACACACGTACTGGTTGTAAAATTCATCAGCAAGAATATTTGTACAGAAAACAAGAAATCGTCTGAAGGTGTTTGTTTTATTTGGCAATGTCTGTCAACTTAACATTTTAAGTCTTTGAAGATTTGTTCTCCAGATGATGATGTCCAAATGACAAATTTTTATTCCACAAAAGTTTACAATATGAACCAAACATTTCTCATCCTACTAGTGATTAATTCTTGTGAAAATTCGCAGCTAACCCATGAACGGGAGGAGGCGGAGAGACGGGAGCTGCAACGAATGCTGATGGGGGACAGTGCAAGCACCAGCAAGGGGGAGGGCAAGGAGACTGCAGGTGGCAAAAATGGCACCAACACCCCCACCCCAGGGGCCGGCCCATCTAGCAGGGACGATGACCTGAATTCAACACACAGCTTTGGATCTTCATTTGTAAGTCCATGTACATCGTTCATTTTTTTAGTTTTTTAAATTTAGGCTCTGGTGTGATTGAACACTTGCAACAGCTTCGAAATAAAGCTGCACGACTGGTCCTTGTGTGTGGACAGGATCAGCCCTGTGCAGGCTTGTTGGCAGAGCTTCACTGGCTGCCAATAAAAGTGCAGATTTCTTTTAAAATACTCACACTAATATGTAAGTGCCTGCATACCCAAGCCCTGTCATATCTGACTGATCTCATAATATCCCATCAACATCGACTTCACTCCTCTTCTCATCTTACCCAGCTTTCTATTCCTAGATCTAACAAAAGGACAGCCGGAGGTAACTCCAGAGTAGCAGGCTCATGCCTCTGGAACAAACTTCCAGTAGATCTGAGAGAAGCCGAGTCCGAGGTCATTTTCAGACGTTCTTTAACCACTTCATGCCAGGGCATTTTTCAATGTTGATGATGCTGGGCCGGCATGACTATCATTTTTTCCGTTTTCAAAATGCTTCAAAAATTCGTCATTTTACTTAATGGTCATTTGTAGCCGCTCGAAGTAATCTTTAGGCACTACTTTAAGTTGACAGGTGACCTTCATTGATGCCCAAGTATTTCAGCCAGGCCTGCAGCCTTGTAAAAAGAGCCCATATTGTGCGGTGTTATGTAATTTGGATTTGTGTAGGGCTCAGCAGTTGTTCGAAATGGAGAAATTCAGAAACTGGGAGAGTGAATGACCTAATCCTCCTTGATCCTTCCAATCATTAATAAGATTTGGAGGTTTCTTGTCTGATTGAGAAAGATTGTGTTTGGCCACTGTTTACACATAAGAATTTTGCATTACAGCAGGAGTCATTTGTTTCCTCATATAGGGGCTCACTTTGCCTTAGTAGAAAATGAATGGAAGGGCATGTGACTTTATAAGGGTCACTTCATTGTAGTTGCTTTAATTTCTGTTAAGTATTTTTATTTGAAGGTAATAACACTTGGCATGATGTGATAGTTTTACTATCTACTAAATGTTTACCAACTTTGTGCACACACAAGGATTTTTTTGAAACCTATGTTGCTGGTGCAATCTCAAGTAAACAGCCATTGTGGCACTTACAATGGGTGTTCTTGTTCTTGTATCGTTGATAGCACAGTGACATTTAAAAGAAAACACTTTGATTGACAGAAGCAAGTTCCCTGTTCTCTCCAGATTTGTGTCAATCCTTCCTCACAGTACTCACAGGATTTTTTTTTCATCATGTATCTCTGTCAAAACTCTGTCCTGTTCTTTACCTCGCTGCAACAGTGCATTCAGTGTAATCCTGACGGATTGAGCAGGATTTCCCAGAGTTTTCAGTGCCCTTTCAGGTAATCGTGACTCCAGGGATGGCTAGAGTGCATGCCTTGATTTTTGTTGCGAGCAGGCCCTCGTCAAAGAAGAGTATTGTCAACAACTTGTAAATCTTCCCACCCTGGCTGTTGTCAGGTTGGCTCTGGACACCCTGCTATTAAGCGCAGCAAATGTACCACTTACGTTAAGCTGAAGTGAGGATGGTGATGACAGTAACCAAATGCACTAGTTTATTTTGTTGCGTTGTGCAGTGTATGGAACGAATACCAGCTTTGGCACTGTGCACTGACAGTTGTCAGTTTACTATTGGTAGAACAGTGGACATATTGGATAATTTCAAATCTCTTTAAATAATGAAAATCAAATCAATAATCAATATGTCACTTCATTTCCAGTCAGAAAACAAATGAATTGATCGTTGTTTTTGTTGTGGGATCAAAAGTCTAAATTTAAGATTGTGTTGTTTTTATTTCAAGCAGTGTACTTATTGCATAAAATATTCATAAATTAGGTCTTTCAAAAAAGCAAAGTAGTTTGATCATTTGTCATGGCAGGCTCCGTTTTTGGACAGGCTAAGATTTGTGCATGGGCAATACAAATGGGGACGTCCCGATGGTCGGATTGTTCTCACAAAGGAACACAGCCCTCCATGTGGAATGTCCCGTTCCTAACGAAACGGCCGACCATTCCAGAATGAGAACACCATATTCCAATAGGAACATTCTGACCGCTATGAATTATTAGACGCTCCCTAAATCAAAGTGGTGTATCATAACGGTATTTTCATGTTGCTGAGCCACTCTGCATGTTTCCATGCTTCATCTTTCAGAGTGGGCGTCGTCTGAAGATTTACCGCACCTTCCGTGGGGAGGATGGCCAAGATTTTGTCCGAGTGGAGACAGTCCGGAGGCCAGAGGTGATTGACACCTACGTCCGCATCCGCCAGTCAAAGGATGAGAGCTACATGTAAGTGTCACTTTGGCCAACTGAACCTGTTCATTCTTCATGTTTTCTTTAAAATTCAGAGTTTCAAGCTTCCATGCATTAACATTTAGCCGGAACAAATGTTCTTATGGTTCCATGCGGTAAATATTTTTTTTGCGGTTGTTTGTGGAATAAAAAACCTGCTGGTTCTCTAAGATCTGCATGAATTCCTGTGTACACTGTACATGTGTATTCTTTTGGGGAAGGTCTATACTGTGTTTCTAGGTGAAGCAAACAATGCCCTATTCCATGGAGTATCTATAAGGAGATGCAAAGGTTCTGTACGTAATCTTCAGGTTCCTTGTGGACAAACACTGCAGCATCTGAAACTGTAAATGGAACTTATAGTCCAACCATGTAGCCACAAACCAACCATAGTAGTTGTTGTCCAGCCAGCAAGCCTTAAATGTATCAGCAAGCCTTAATGTATTGCCTACTATAAAATCTTTCGCTCTGTTTTCACTTGATCCTTTCTTTTTCCCCAGTCGTCAGTTTGCCCTGCACGATGAGAAGCACCGGGAAGAGATGAAGAAGGAGAGACGACGCATCCAGGAGCAACTGCGCCGCATCAAGCGCAACCAGGAGAAACAGGAGCAGGAGAAGCTGCACCCCAAGCCACCCAAGGTCTTCAGGAAGAAGAAAGAGAAAAAGATAGATCCCAAGGTCCTCAAGGTGGGGAGAAATTGAAAATTGAAGACAGGTCCAAGTTTGACTGGGTACAGTGAGAGACAGCTCTTTTTACTATGAATCTTGCGAGCAATTGGTCAATCATGTTTGTTTCTGAAAAGGACTTTCACACAAGATTCTGTTTACAAGGTTTTCAACGCTTGAGCAAGGAGGTATTGACAGGCAATGAGTGAAGTTGGTAGCTACCTTGATCCTTGATCATTTTTCCTCTGTCCAGATGAAATGCGGGGCCTGTGGACTGATTGGCCACATGCGCACCAACAAAGAGTGCCCCAACTATGCCAAACTGAAGGAAAACCTGCCATCAGTTGCCGTGGCAATGACAGAGGAACAGGAGGAGGCAGAGGAGAAGAAATTGGAGGATGATGAACTTGTCAAGACGGAGGGAACAAAGGTCATCCTGGCCAAGAGCATTGTTGAGCAGTGAGTGTCTTCTCACTTTTTCTGAAGGAATGCCATTTGCAGATTTTTTATTCAGTTCAGTTCCAAGCCATATGCATTTTGAAAGCAAAGTACAGTTTTCTTTTCAAGGCAACAAGGGTTTTTCACATGTTCGCAGTTGTAGAATTATCAGTGTTTCTGTGAACAATTTTACTTGTGCTGATGCAAGGTAATTTTTATTTCATGCCTGTTAAACCTTAATTGTAATATTATACAGTTGGCTGTAAAATATTATCAATATAAGGAATCCCCAACTTTACAACGTACATGCAGTAAGCTTCCTTAGTAAACTTCTCAATTTTCTGTTGTCCTTCATCCAGCGCCGAGCAGGTCAAACGTAAGTCCCTGGTCCTGCGTTTCCCGAAGGAGAACTTGCCGCCTAAGAAGAAGAGGCGCACTGAGTCCTCCCAACCCCTGGACTATCTCAAGGTGAGCATCTTATGTTGTAAAGTTGGTCGTCTTACGTCCTTGGATATTGTTAAAATTAGCTCTCTTATATGGACACAGTTGTAGGGCACTCCTGACAGTTGACACTTACTTGCTAGATAATGTTTAGGTTGCATTTCGTTTTTGTTCTTTTCCCGGTTTTTTTGGCTGTTGTAGCTTTCTACCTGTTATGAAATTCAAAGTCCTCTGCAATATGTTTTTTTCACATGGATAATTTGTTCTGATTGGCAGCCATAGAATCTTGGATTCGCCAGGCAAATTTAATTTCCAATCTGTTTCGATCCATAAATTTGAAGACAAAATGAGTACACTACTGAACAACTTTAAGTCTTTAATTTACTTGTCAACTGCCTTGTTATACCAGAAACTGTAATCCACTAATCATTCACTCTGACATCCAGGATATTCTAGGTTACATCACACCTCCAAATCCTAACGCAGGATTTCCTGGACCTTGCAGATGCACCTAATCAAATTAAGTTTGATCTGGAGATCAACTATGTGTCAACTTTTCCTCAGATCAGCTCATTTCATCACTTCCTTCTTTCCAAGTATGCCATTACAAATTGGAAAAAAAAACACTTCACAGCGTCTCTTGAGGCTTGAAATTTTCTCCTTTTTTTCCCGACACTTCTTTAGCATATGTGAGCAAAGAATGTCTATAGATCAATTTTGAGCTTGCGCATTTAATATCCATTTGGCATGAGGGCTTTTAAACGAACTTGTTTCTTGATTGGTCTCTTCCTGTAGCGGCCAAACCAGTCCAATAATCGACGTCGCACCGACCCAGTAGTCACCCTTGGGATTATGCTGGAACCAATTCTGAACGAGATGAGAGATATACCATACGTGAGTACCAGTTAATGATCTTTACCAGCACTTCTGTGGAAGATGATTCTTAGCTGATTCCTTGATGAAGGTCAATTATTTTCAATCTAGTCTTACAGGGTCAGGGTTAACATGAACGAGGGAAAATTAATATTCGAGAGTGAGACAATTCTATAGCATTACGGTTTTGCTTATGTAAGCTGCTCACATAAAACCTGGTAGGTTTGCAACATTAAGACTTTGTTGCAAAAGTTTCTTGTTCTTCTTTCTAGGTTGTGACAGGCTTCATAGCATTAGCAGGGGAATCAAACAATCTTGTCAATAGGGTCTGGTCTTTTGACGTCACAGTCGTGTTTTTTCGACAAGTGGCTGCTAAAACTATGGTTGGCCATCAGTACAAAAGTAAACGAGTAATTCAGAGAGTGTTAAAAATCTTATGCAACTATCAGAATGATGGATAATAATACGCATACTACTAAATACTGAATGAAAATACAACCCTACTTAGAATTAATTGGACAAATGTCCAGTTTGAGCAAATTTCAGATAAAATCGAAAACCAACCAAAAGTTGATATTGCTGTAAACTTTGGCTGCCCATACAAGTTGTAGGCCAAGTGAAAGTGCTCTGTAATTCACTAACCGCAATAGTTGTTTTTTTCACTGTATAAAAAAAATAAACAAATTTTCACAAACAGTTTTAAATTTTCACAAATCAAAAAAAAAGAGACTAGAAACTGTAGTTTTCTCAAATTGGCCAAGAGCAGGGTGGGGGAAGTTGATGTCTCCGCTGTGGGTAATGCAGTTCGAAAACACAGACATTTCTCCTGGGAACCCTAGCACATGCCAGGTGTTAACAAGATTTCATACAGGCCTGATGCCTTAGCCTTTGCTCAGCACTTTTTCAGGTGCCATTCAAAAGAAGTAAGAGGGTTTTAGACCCCACCCGACACTCAAGAAGTCGTCTAGACTGTACCAATAGTTTTACCTTGGATTATGAAGCTACATTGGTGTGAAAAATGTCTCATTTTGGGTGTGGCAAAGGTTGTAAGACCATAAATTATCAAAGCCAATTTTTTGAAACCTTTTTTTCCCTTGTGGGTTGACAGTGACCGTGATCCGACTGACTCCTAGTAATGTGTCTTCTGAAAGGGCAATTAATATAGTTACATGTATCTTCCACCCACCCAAACTGCAAAGCTCAAAAGCCCTTGTTGGACACATCGACCTGAAAAATGAGCTTCCACCAATTTTTTGATAGAGTATACAATTGAAGGTTCTTGAACTGCACCCTTGCTGTTCCAGTGCTGTGTTTGGATTAGCCACGGATGTCCCCCAACCATCCTGGATTGGAGACACACCCAACATTGCTTTGATAACCCCACACGCTTACTGCTGCACAAGTAGGAACTGATAGAAGAGTGATGAGTTAGGCGTCACTGATCCCTGTCTTTAGTGTCTATTTGGATATTTGTTTGCCCCAAGCTTTGTCCCGTTTCGTTCAGACTAGACAGAATGTCCCGTTACTTTCCCAGAATTCTTGAATCTCCCCATGGCTTTATTGATGGATCCACTTTGGCGAGTATACAAAGTAATGTTCTGCACTTTCAAAGAGGCTTCCCCTTAATGCAGTTTACGTGTTCATGTAGCAAGGTTCAAACAGTCACCTGATGTTCTTTTTTCATCTGTTTATTGCCCCCTTTCCATCAAGTCATTTCCTTTGCGTTTCCACTGCACATAGTGGAGGAAATTAAACACATTGACCAAAAATTTGTCAAAGTAACGAGAACGATAATAATCTGACATTTATAATGGGCAATTTCAATAGCCAAACTCCAGAAGATGAATGACATATTCCATGAAGGGAACATGCAGGTTATTTGGTTTATCCTTAACCACTTGCCTCCGGGGTTTCTGGAACTGGGTACCTTGGGTTTGTATGCATAGCCGGGGTAACCGAAATCGGATCAAAGAGCTGGGCCTTGTAACAAAAGACCAAGCTGCTGGGATTTTCCATTGTTCTCCAGGTGAAATCAGCGGGGGTAATCCATCATTGTTTTGAAATGGCATACCACTGTTTGTGGCATTCAGTGCCAGTGGATTATCAGCGCGGACAACAGTGCCCCAGCAATGAGCAATACAGTACTGCTGCATGCTAATCCCGCCGCATTTGAAAAGACGCCACTGCCATTCAGCAATGCCCAGGGCCAATTTCGGAAACAAAGGAAATTACACAACTCTGCACAATCTGGGCTCTCTTTACTGGGCGGCAGGCCTGGCTGTAATACCCAGGTGTCAATTGAGGCTGCATGTCAGATTAGAGTACCCACCACACAGTCATTTGTGTGGGAGTAAACGTCTAGTAAATGAAATCATGAATTTTTGAAGAATTTTGAAAATCTTGAAAATCCACTGGGAACTCATCCCACACATACAAATTCCACCCTGCAGGAAGTGGTTAAAATTGTCAAGGGAACTGATGTTGCACATGTTCTGCAGAAGAGAATTCCAGTATTGAGGATCAAAAACTGAAAAAATTTTTAGACATCATCTAATACCTGTAACCTACAAATTATTCATACAATTTCATTCACATTAAAAATGGCAGTAAAACCTTTACAGCATGCATAAAATCTAATCAACTTTCTTAGACAGTGTTTGATTTTCATATTGACTGTGGTAGTAATTTACCACTAGCGTTATTGCACTTCGATCACTCAGACCAATGCTAAGAAGGAATTATACAACTAATTACTGAAAGATCTGTGTTGATGCCAACTTGACCCCTCAGAATGCAGAAAACATATTACATGTACATGTACCAGTATGAATATTAAATCACAAGTTCAGCAGTCCTGGAGTCCTTGGTACATCTAGGAACTGTTTGATTTTCCCATTTACAATTAAACTTCCCCATTGGCTGTACCAGATATTACAGCATGACTTATTTTGGTTGAATAGGGGAAACCAGTGCCTGTGGTGGGTTCATGAAGCTGATAAGTAACTTCCTGTCAAGTTTTCCTCACGAGAATTTCTGTGCCTTGAATACGTCAGGGAGCTACTGCAAATAATTTCATGGTGGAGGGAGTTTTCTTCCGTCCCTGCATGGTGCATGCATTGTGTGCATCGAGCATAGAGTACATTCACTTCATACTGCCTTGTACAGAGGCTTTGCGTGGAAGCCATGTTGTAGGGCAGTTCTTTTATTCTGCTGCGGAACCTCCTTTGTGCGTAGCCTGTGAAACAAAAGCACTGGCCTGCAAAATGACAGTCATGCAACCCTTTATGCTGATGATCTGACTGAAACCCAGTGTCCTGCAAAATACAGTCTTGAGAGGCTAACATTCTGAGGCAACTTTTCACCTTAAGATGCACATTGTTAATGACAACTGCTTATGTTTGAACATGTGAGTGCTTGTGCGTCATAAACCAGCACTGCCAAATAAGTTACTTTTGAAAATAGAACTCGGAATTGCTTTGAAATTAGCACTGGACTGATTGGACTCAATGCAGAAGTTGCACCCTGAAGAGCCACTTTTTATGCAACCACGATTTTTAAGAGTTTAAAGGGTGAAAATGACCGTCTCATTTTCCAGGTCTCTGATAAGGTCGTGAATCAATTTGTGCCTAGCACCGGGTTCAAGCTGTCAGTGGCTCGACAGGTAGTCGCCAATGGAGGATTTTTTCAAATGTTGGCTTTGATTCTGAGCTACGTTGCAAGAAAAATACATTGTGTTTAGCACTGCATAAGTGAAGTGGCTGAAAACAAAAATGTACCTTTAGCTAAACCTGTGTCTTTTATTTAAAATTTGCTGGCTGGAACCTTGCCAGTCGGGGAGAGAGTGGATCACAATTGAGAATGTGGTCTGAGGTCATCGGTCTCATTCTGTCTGGTTTGAGGGAGGGGGACTTGAACCAGATACAGCTGAGGCAAGATCAGTCCAAAATCTCACCTGTAGATCTCACGTCAGGGAAATGTGGGCCTTCCGGGCCATCTTGGGGATGGGAAATTGTCTCCAGGGATGGCCCTCTCCTTGTGCCGCCTCCAGAACAAGCCCCAAATGTAGACAGGAAGCCACTGTCGCTGCCCTGGGTGCGAAAAAAAAAGAGGCAAAATTCTTTGCAGATGGTGCCTTTTGGTCTGAAAGAAGAAGTTGAAGGGTTGCACCAAATATTTGTCCACATCACAGCTACTGCCGTCATTTTCTCTTACATGGTCATGATGATAACCAATCAAGCAGTCTCACTTGCCACTGGTTAAATAGATTTTAAATGTAGTGGACAGCCACTGATTGGGAGAGGTTGGGTTTTCTTAATATCATTCCCATCTGTGCTATCTGACAATTGAGTTCATGTTTTCATTCTTGTATTTTATTACCACTTGTTAACAAGATCAGCGGATTTTCAACAACCTGAGGGACCTGCAATATCATGTGACATATTTCGTTGTGCGTGTGGATGCATTGCCAAGTGTTCTTTTCTTGGACTCCTGTAACCCCATGTACTTCAGGCAAATTCAGGATCCACTAAGAGCCAAATTTGACTTTTTGTGTTTGATAATGCAGCTTGGACCCACCTGGTACTGATTACCTTCCCCAGTTTATTTGGTGCAAAATATTTGTGCACAAAAACGTTCAATAGGAAGCAGGTGTTGTAGATAGAATGTGTTACCCATTGGTCCCATACTGTCTCTTGATTCTTGCTAGTCATTAGCCACGTCGTTTATATTTGTGCTAGTTGCATGGTAGATGCATGTACATGTAATTGGAATTTATCATGCACAGGTTTTTGGCCATTTTGAAAGTACTGTTTTGTCAGATTTATTTAGAAGAAAATTTTGCGATTGAAGTAGGCTGCAACCATAGCTCTAGATCAGCATACAAATTCTAGTAAAAATAGTCGTAGGCTAGTAAAATGCATTCTTTCACTTGCCACATGGGCTGGTTAAGAAAAACCTACATTTATGAAACTGTTATTTGTCATAAAAGATGAACAAAGCAAACATTTTGAAATTAATTGTAC